AGTGGAAGGTGTCCCTGCCCATGGCAGGGGGCTGGAACTGGATGATCTTAAGGTCCGTTCCAACCCAAACCATTCTATGACTTCATTATATTGGTCCTCACTGGCATGAGGCTGGTGCCTTGTCCAGGAAAAGTAAATTTGGGAAGTGAAGTGACTTTATTGCTGTGAGGTAGATTCCAGGCTGGAGCTAGATGATCATTAAGGTCTCTTCCTTGGCCCTACTGCCGCACTCGTGCTGATACAGGCCAGGATGCTGGTGGCTTCTTGCCTGCCTGGGCACAAGCTGCTCACGTTCAGCACCATCAAATAACACCATCAGGTCCTTTTCCATGGGCAGCTTTCCAGCCTCTCTTCCCCAGTCAGAGCAGAGGAGATGCATCCCACAGGGGAACACAGCTGAGCTGCTCTCCTTCCAAAGCAGCAAAACGATTAGGGCCTTTGTAATCTGTGAACTCTGGCAGACACAAGTCTTCTTCTATTTATTCCTTCCCTTCTATCACCCCTTTTATGGAACTGTTTGTGTGCAGAAAAACTCCTTTATTATTTACAAATCTGCTTTTCTTCCAACAGAAAAAGGAGAGTGAATGTTTACAGCTGAAGATCCTGGTGCTACGCAATGAACTGGAGAGGCAGAAGAAGGCCCTTGGTCAAGAAGCAGCCTTGTTGCATAAGGAAAAAAGTACTTTGCATGATAGAGGTAAGTGGAAAAATGCTCCTATTACAGATATTCATCATCCACTGATCAGAAGAGTAGTAGCCTTGCTTGTGGTCATGGTGACCAACATGCAGGTGCTGGTCTAGGGTGGATCTGTTGTCTGGCTCTAATGTGCTTCTGTTTATCTGAAGTTTGCAGCAGGTACGATCTCTTCACCATCTGTGTTATACTGAATTCTGGACAGGAGTTTGTTATCCTGTTTCTAAAGAGCTTCTCTGACACGTCTCTAAAGCAGTGTTATACCTGTGTTTAATTAAATCTTTAGGGGAAAATGAGAAGAGCTGCACTGCAACACAGTGAGCAGCGCCTTGATGCAGGCACATTATCATGTCATAAGGGCTGTTATTGTACCTGTGATTAGGATCCTACCTTAAGTGTTAGAAGACAAATATCCCCCTTAATAGCTTATAATGTAAGTGAAAGGTGACATGCTCAGTTGTCTTGGTATTCCCTTTTACTGGGGAAGTGTCTTATAGTAGTAAAATCTATGTCAGTGTCTCTTTGGAGCTCTGCACAGACGAAGCTATGGGGATGTTTGATCTTCTTCCAGGACTTTTTTAATGCTTAGTTGAGTCTAAAATAATTAATCACTACTAGAAATGAGGGGCTTTTTCATTTAGTTATTTCTGCCTCTGCAGAAAGCTGGAGAGGGGCTTTTTACAAGGGTCTATAGGCCTGTTGGAGAGAGGCCAGAGGAGGCCCCGGAGCTGCTGCGAGGGCTGGAGCAACTCTGCTCTGGAGCCAGGCTGAAAGAGCTGGGCTGGGGCAGCTGGAGAAGAGAGGGCTCCTGAAGGGGACACCTTAGAGCAGCTCCAGGAAACCTGGAGAGGGGCTTTGGACAAGGGCCTGTAGGGACAGGCCAAGGGGAATGGCTTTAACCTGCCAGAGGGGAGATTAAGATGAGCTCTGAGGCAGAAGCTCTTCCCTGTGAGGGTGCTGAGGCGCTGGCACAGGGTGCCCAGAGAAGCTGTGGCTGCCCCATCCCTGGCAGTGTTCAAGGGCAGGTTGGACACAGGGGCTTGGAGCAACCTGCTCTAGTGGAAGGTGTCCCTGCCCGGGGCAGGGCTTGGAGCTGGAGGAGCTTTAAGGTCCTTTCCAACCCAAACCATTCCATGTTTCTATTAATTACTCCACTACTGTGGACATGAGGTGAGCAGGTGTCAAAGAAGAATGAGGTTATATTGGTTGTATTTGGCTGGTGAATGGTGTGTAGTGCATGCAGAAGTGTTCCTCTTCCACTGTCATTCCCCTTTTGGCAACATCACATGGAAAATGGGCATCTAAGAGTAAGTGGAGGATTATTGCCAGTATTTGTGTCAGGATCTACATTTATAAGACTTCAGATAGCCAAGAAAATATTTGATACTAATTTTCTTTCCCTGATTCCTCATGTTTAGGAAATGCGTTTGAGAGTGAATACCAGAAACTTCAAGAGCATAGTGAATCCCTGCATGAATTAAGAAAGGAATGCACTGCCAAGAGGTAACAGGACTGATGCCTTTGCTGCTCTTGGAAAGGAAATACAAGCTTGAGAGCAGGCCATTTGGCTCCTGGCACCAAATTCTTCCTAATATCACCCCAGACCCTCTCTTAAGACATATCTGCTGCGATTTGTAGGTATCTAAAGTGATAATTGAGAGTGGCAAGCCTAGAAGAGAACAGATGCGTGGTTGCATGTGTAGACTATGGTAAAGAGTTTTAGGTCTGTTTTAGTGTAACAGAGCTTTAGTAATTAATTGTCAGTCAAAATATGCATATATGAGGTACAACTGAAAATGCAAAGTTAGCTTTGACTTTTGTATTTTTATTGAGGTAGAATTACCTTGCTTTTTCTGGGAGAGGGGAGGTGATACTTGGGAAGATGCAGAAGGAATGTGATGCTTTGATACCTTTACTTAATGCTTTTAGAAGAAACTAATGGGTTTGGGATCTCTTTCCCCAAAGAGAACTGTTCCTGAAGACACATGCCCAGCAGACTATTCGATGCAAGCAGCTGCTGTCAGAGCTCTCCTACATCTACCCTATTGATCTGGTAGGGTTTTGACATTCTAAACAACCTACTTGATGTGAAATGAACCTCCTATTTATCACCCTGCAAGCAAATAGCGTGTTTTATTCATGATGGAACTTGCTCTTCACTCGTGCTGGTTTTTCCCAGCTTTTTCTTGGATTGGGACTTATAGGGGGAGGATTTATGCCAACATTTCTCAAATAGTCTCCACTACAATAGCAGAATAGTTGTATTTTAATGGATACTTTCCATTCTGTTTACCATGATATAAAGTAACCCTGACATTAAGCTCGCTGAACTGTAACAGAGTGCATGTAAACAGATGTCAAAATAGAGCTCCAAAACCTTTATATAATGAATTAAAACAAAGCTCTCCCTTTTTCCATATAGCATTTATTTCTATATTATATAAAACATGGACTAAAATACAAAGTCACCTGGGTTTAATTGAATGTTTAGTTTCTTCTTCGTTGTGATGAGGTTTTTGTGCAGGTTTCTGTGTTCTGGATGTTCTTTTTCCATTCTCATTGTTGGTTTTTAACCTTACAGAATGATCAGAAGGATTACTTTGTTTGTGGAGTCAAGCTTCCTAATTCTGAAGACTTCCAAGGTAGCTGCGTGTTCTTAATTCAGTTATTACAGCTGACACTGCTTCTAAACTTCATGGAATTAAGTAAACTGATAGGAATGGGTTAGGATCCAAATACCCGACTGAACAGGGACTAGAAGAAAACTTATGCATTATTTATTCCTAATTCCTGGTACAAAGGGGGTTACTGTTGACTATAGGAAAGTACCTCTGTACTCTAAGACTCAATACTGAAATGCTGGAGCAGGTTACCCAGAGGGGCTCTGGAGTCTCCATGTGGAGTCTCCATCCTTGGGGATGCTCAGAACCCAATGGGACTGAGTCCTGAGCAACCTGCTCTAGCTGGTCCTACGCTGGGCAGGGTGATAGGCCTATGCAGTTTCCAGTGGTGCCTTCCAGACTTAGGGATTGTGGAAAATATTTGTCTGGCCTAAAATTCCATTGTGGCTCCTGTCAGTCCATAAATCTGGATGGGGTATCATGCACAAATCCCCATTCAAATTGTTGTAGCTGCTGGTGAACTTACCAAATAGATATCGTGCATAAGGAAGACTTTAGAGCTGGAGTACACGGAGTGTTTTAAAAGTCAGCTTCTGCTCTAACTGTCTATAGTCACCCCATTGCAGAAGCAAATATGTGACACAGGTCTCTGTGTAGCAGTTGTGCAGGTGACTGCATACAGGCATCTACACATGTTTCACATGGCATTTGTTTGTACAAATGCTGAATGGCTTTAACTTGCCAGAGGGGAGACTGAGATGAGCTCTGAGGCAGCAGCTCTTCCCTGTGAGGGTGCTGAGGTGCTGGCACAGAGTGCCCAGAGAAGCTGTGGCTGCCCCATCCCTGGCAGTGTTCAAGGCCAGGTTGGACACAGGGGCTTGGAGCAACGTGCTCTAGTGGAAGGTGTCCCTGCCCGTGGCAGGGGTTGGAACTGGATGATCTTAAGGTCCCTTCAACCCAAACCATTCCATGGTTCTATGTTGTGCTCTCAGAGCTCAGTATGATTTCATAGCTGTTGCTGAACATCACTGTAAGCTTCTTGCAGGGTCCTCTGTTCGACTGATTTCACATCACTCCCTTGTGCCTCAGAAAGGATGATTCTCACATTGTTTGTACTGGTGTGTTCACTTATAAAGAATTCAAATAGAGCAAACAGAAAAGAAAAGCCCTTAATGGCTGAAGGATGCAATTTGAATTGCCAGACCTGTGTGTATTCCCCTTCAGGTGAAGCTTTAAGGTTGCAGCCTTAAATGTCCAATTGAAAATGATACTTTAAACCAATGGGTTAATCTAAGTTCTTGCAGTTATTGGCAGAGAACTGATTTCATACCCTGGGGTCAGTGTCTCTCCAACTGATCTCACTAATGAATGGAGTTTGGAGGAATGCAGCTTTTCCCTGACCCCGGTCATACATGTCAGCTCCATCTCAGACATGCAGAAAGCTGAAGACTCCGATTTTGTCTTGGGGATTTTGTTTTGCTTTTCCCATTTGTTCTCTACCCTCCCCTACCCCAGCCAAGTGTTGGGAAGAGTAACTGTTAGCTTTGAAAGCGGAAAATTGGAAGGAGAGCAAGTTATTACTATTTTATATTGCTCTTTAATGGAAGGGGCAAATACAGTGAAGTGCAAGCAACTGTAAAACAGCCTAAAATTCAGACTTGCACCTATTCTGAAGTTATAACTTCTGCCAGCTTCATAATTGTGTCATTCCCTGAGCAATAATAATACCTGAAGGGGGCTACAAGGATGCTGGAGAGGGACCTTCATCAGGAACTGGAGTGATAGGACAAGGGGTGATGGGTTCCAACTGAAACAGGGGAAGTTCAGGTTGGAGATAAGGCAGAAGCTGTTCCCTGTGAGGGTGCTGAGGCGCTGGCACAGGGTGCCCAGAGAAGCTGTGGCTGCCCCATCCCTGGCAGTGTTCAAGGCCAGGTTGGACACAGGGGCTTGGAGCAACCTGCTCTAGTGGAAGGTGTCCCTGCCCGGGGCAGGGGTTGGAGCTGGATGATCTTAAGGTTCTTTCCCACCTAAACCATCCTATAATTCTATGATGAACTTGCACTGAGCCTACACTTGGATTCAGCTGAGTATTTGAATAATGGGATCATTTTGTTCTTGACAGCAAAAGATGATGGAAGCATTGCCGTTGCCCTGGGCTACACCGCTCACCTGGTGTCAATGATATCCTACTTCTTACAAGTGCCACTCAGGTATCCAATACTTCACAAGGGCTCCCGGTCTACAATTAAAGACAACATCAATGACAAACTGACAGAGAAAGAGCGAGAGTAAGTATGTTGTAAATATGCTTATGGGCTTTATCAATACAACAACAACCCCCTTGAGCAGTTTTAGGTACTCTGAAGTGATGGAGAGTTTGAAGTTATGACTCCTTGACAGGCTGAGAACACTGGGGCTGTTCAGCCTGGAGAAGAGAAGCTGCTGGAGACCTCAGAGCAGCTTCAGTGTCTGAAGGGGGCTACAAGGATGCTGGGGAGGGACCTTCATCAGGGACTGGAGTGACAGGACAAGGGGTGATGGGTTCAGACTGGAACAGGGGAAGTTCAGGTTGGATCTAAGGCAGAAGCTGTTCCCTGTGAGGGTGCTGAGGCGCTGGCACAGGGTGCCCAGAGAAGCTGTGGCTGGTCCCGGGTGGAGGATCTCTGCCCGTGGCAGGGGGTTGGAACTGGATGATCTTAAAGTCCTTTCCAAACCAAACCAGTCTGGGATTCTGGGATTCTCTGAAACCTGGTAAAATCAATACATTGTTTTAACACAGAGGATTTGAATCAATTGAAAAAGAGCAGTCTAAGCTGTTCCCTATTATAAATCAACTTAATAATGAGGAGTGTTCAACTTGTTCTGTAGGCATTGTCTTTCAACATCTAGCTATGCTATTGTTATTGTTATGCTACTAGGAAACAGGGTCTTGCTGTCCTTAAATTCACTCTCCACATCCCTTTTCCTGTGTTTTGGCACTTTGCCTCTTTCCCACTGTCTTTGCACCTGCGTGCTCTAATGTGAAAGTAGCTGCAATTGTTGGTCAAGCTTCACTTTAAAGTCTGCAACCACAGAACTCAAAGGAGCTCAATGCTGACCAGCTGTGAAGGCCAGCTCTGATGCTGTCTGTGTGTGGATGGTGGCAGGGTCAGGCTGCAGTACCAGGAACTTCGTTGTTCCATAGGAAAGGTTTCAAAAAGTAGGAAAGGAAATGACTGAGGGGAAATGAATTTATGGGAAGTGGCTGTCTCTGTTGACACAAAGCCTGCAAAACCCCCTCTTCTCTCTGGGAATACACAATTGAAGCATTACAGTATCTTAACACTAATTCCTAATAGTCGAACTCAAGAAGGAACTTGATTTGTGCCCAGTTGACAGAATGAGGGTGCTTGGAAGTGTCTGACTCCTCTCTGAAGCTTAGTGCCTTTTGGCAAGCAGACCCTTGAGTTAAACTCACTGAGGTCTTCCTGGTTTGACACAGTAAAGCAGGACTATAGAATGATGTCTTACAAATGAATTTTGATACCATTTGAAGAACTTGTCCAAACACTTCCTGGGTAACTTACCGTGGATCTGGTTTGCTTCAGTGTAGTTCTCTCAGCATATGATCAGACTCTTTCCTGTCCATCACTTTCAGAAGGGTAGAACTTAGAACATTTCTATCTGGAAAGCAGATTTCTGAGGGGTAGAGCTGCCTCTGTGTGGCTGTAGAAAGATTAAACCAATTTCCTGTTGTCTGAGACAGACTGGAAGGTTTACTCCTTCAGGCTGTAGCCTCCCAACCCCTCCTGACTTACTACTTCATTTCACAATAGGTTTCTGAAGAGGAAAAAGTTTAGCTAAGTCTCTGAATCCCTCGGGGGCCATTTCCTTGTGTTCTGCAATGCTTTATTCAGGATTAGCTCCTGCTGAGATCTTCTGTTCCTGGCTTTTGGAGAGTCAATCCTACCATCTCTCAAAGGACTTGACTTGCTATAGAAAACCTCCAAAGGCTTAACTTGCACTTTTCATTCCAAACTAATAGCTCATGTTTCTCACCTGCTCCTGAACTGAATTGAACACAGCAATTAACAACCATTAGTAAATGTCTTCATTTCAGTCACCTGCCATTTAGCAGCTTTTCAAACTCCAACATAAACTGTTGAGTAATTACACCGAGGTTTTCTCTCTACTCCACGATGCTGCGTGTTATAGTAAAGCTGATTATTGACTAAGTGAAACGTTTTTCTTGGCTTTATACTTCTTTTGGACTCCAGGGTTGCCCTGAGGTCCATACTCAGAGCTTCTAAAAACTGTGCACTGGGGGAATAGCTGATCTTTTCATCCAAGAGCAATTCCATAACTACACATGTTTGTTTCTACTGTTATACTGAATAAACGTGGTGCTTCACTTGCAAGTTTCTTTACCAGCTCTTAAAGCCCTTATTATAAGCTGTTTAAATATTCTGAGAGCTTTCACAACTGCAGTTACTTTATCTTCTTCACATCTGTTTACTTGGATGCTCCAGTCACTTAATATCAAGCTTTTTGTAGCAGTATTGCATTTGTTTGCTGCAGTTACAGTTATACCAGAACTTAAGAGTGTACAAATGAAGTAGGGGGCTGTGATGTGAACTTAAGCACTTGTCACACTAGTGCAGGTAGAATAATGTATAGAATACCTGCTGGTAGCATGCAACGTATGGTCAGCTTTGTAGCTGTAGAGACAGTGGTGTTTATAACCTGCTTGATAGCTGTTCTCTTCTTGTATTCCATAAAGTAGTTCTGGTACAACTAAAAGGCTGTTTCTCCTATAAGTCTATGACTTTCTGAACCACCAAATTAAGGCAAGAATGGTTTTTAGTGTATCTCTTATTAATGTACTTCTTCAGTGGTCCCTTTCAGTATATCCAGAGTACATCAGATATGTAGGAAAGAAAGAGCACTATTGTTTAGGAGTTCTGAAGTCAAGGATGTCAAAGCAAGTAAGTATGCCCTCAGTATGTTTGCAGGTGACACTGAGCTGGTGGGAGTGTTTATCTGCTGGAGGGTAGGAAGGCTCTGCAGAGGGACCTGGACAGGGTGGAACTATGGAACAAGGCCAATTGTATGATGTTCAACAAGGCTCAGTGCTGGATCCTGCACTTGGGTCACAGCAACCCCATGCAGTGCTCCAAGCTTGGGGAAGAGTGGCTGGGAACTGCTCATGGAAAAGGACCTGGGGGTGCTGGTTGATGGAGCTGAACACGAGCAGCTTGTGCCCAGGCAGCCAAGAAGCCACCAGCATCCTGGGCTGTATCAGCCCCAGTGTGGCAGGAGGGCCAGGGCAGGGACTGTCCCCCTGTGCTCGGCCCTCGGGAGGAGGCCCGTCC